TCCCTCCCCTGATATGTGCTGCTCTCCTCAAATTCTTTATGTCCATTGTAGCCAGGAACACTGACTGGTGAGCAACACCAGGATGTAACAGATATTGCTGGCAGCCTCCCCTCACAGACCCCCCTCCCATACCTGCTACCCACTGTGCATGCACCACAAAAGCTGGTAGGAGTAAATTTCCATGGTTGGGTGGGAAGGGCTCATAGGCCCGATCAGAATATTCACAAGCCTTTGTTCCATGATGGTTTTAGGAACAGATAGTAGCCTAGGCCTAAGGCAACAACCATGTGGCCTTAGGCTGGCCACCATGACTGGCTCATGGATAAGTTATGTTGATCTAATCATAGAAAGTCCAAGACATTTGCTCATTTGTGGGTTAAGAACAACCCTCTTGGACAGCATGGTACAGGGTGATAAAGCACGACTACGAAGTCCTGCGAATTCCATTACCTAAATACTGCTGAACCCTACTCTCTCCTCAGCACTATCTTAATGCTCCTACCCTGCAACTCAATACTCCAGCCCCAAAGTGAACTTCTCAAATGATAGACCTGAACTTGTCATTTTACTACTCAAAAACTTTTGATATCTCATCACTGTATGACATAGCAAATAGTGTGAGCTTTGAAGACAGATAACTTTGAAACATCCCTCTGCCACTTAGCTGTGTCACTTTGGGCAAGGATCTTAATCTTTCTGCATATCACTTCTCTCAACTAGAGGGCTAATACTGTTATAGTCAGGATTCCTTTGGTTACTAGTGACAGAAAACTAATGCTACTCACTAGGCAAAAATGGAGAGATTTATTATCTCAAGGGTCCAACCAAGGAACAGTAGTGCAAGAGGGTGTCAGGGACAATTAGAATCAAGAAATCACAAATAGCGTATTTCTTCTTTCTGGGGGATGGGTGAGCGGCAGCTCTCCATCTTTGCTTCTCTCTACACTTCAGCTTCGTTTTCTTGGATTGTTGAGTTCATGCATGGCCAAAACACAAATGGCCAATAGCTTCCAGGCTCACGTTACCCAGTTTAGTTAGTAAAAAACAGGAAATTCTTTTCTTTTTTTGTCTTTTCTGAGACAGGGTTTCACTATGCACTTCAGGCTGGCCTTGAACTCACTTTGTAGCTGAGGCTGGCCTCGAACTCACAGCAATTCTCCTGCCTCAGTACCCCCATGTGCTGGGATTACAGGTGTGTGCCACCACGCCCAGCTTGGCTTTTTTTTTTTTTTTTGGTCTTTTTAGCAAACTCTTATAGTTTCCAAATTTTCAGGAAAGGGCTTTGCTTGTCTCATCTTCAGTCAGGTAGGTATCCAGTGCTAACAAGCAAGGACCAAAGCAGGATGTGTAAGATGGTGCCTTCTAATGAAACCGCATGATGAGAGATACGAAATCAGATCACTGAACAGAAGCAAACAGTTTTGTTCTCTAAAAAAATCTTATCTTACATGATTATTTTAGGGATGAAATAAGATGACCTACCTACAGGGCTGCTGATTAGACTAGCTCAGAAGTAAAGTGCTTGCCTGGCAGGTGCAAGGCCCTGGGTTCAATTCCCAGCACTGCCAAAAATAAATAAGTAAATAAGAAAGCTCTAGTCCAACATCAAGAATATCAAATACCCAGGCCAGTGCTCAGGTCCCACACTACGCAGCAGATTCTCTGCAAATACTTGTCCCTCCCCTTCATTACATCCGTGTTAGCGAGCTTCCTATTACTGTGACCAAATTCTTGAGGTAATCAATTTAAAGGGAAGAAAGGTTTATTTTGGCGCACAGTTTCAGAGGTTTGAGTCCGTGGCTGCCTGGCTTTGTTCCCTTTGGGCCTGTGGCGAGGCAGCACATTATTGCAGGGAGTGGGGGAGCACATGACAGGAAGCCTGCTCACCTCATCGTAGCCAGGAAGCAAAGAGAGAGGAGGGGCCAGGGTCTCAAATCCCCTTCGAGGGCACATCCCCAGCGACCCCACGTGTCAAGACTGTACCAAGTAGTGCACAGGTGGTAATCAAGTGCACATGGCCTTTAGGAGACATTGAAGAGTGCAACTATAGCAACGTCCTCACTCTGGGGGTGGCTGCTTGCCTAGATAGTGCCTTCACCCTTTGGAAAGTAGCTAACGATTCCCCTTTGGGTGGATGCACCCCTGTGAGTACAGGGTTTGATAAACAAAAGTCACAGCTGCGATAAGATGTCTCCCTTATTGTAACGAACCAGGATTGTGCCTTTGTGGGTAGGGTGCACAGACAGGGTAGCAGATTTCTCCCCCAGTACCCGCCTCAGCCCTGGCCCTTCGTCTCTGAGCAGCACATAGGTGGGGCACTGCTTTCCTATGGCTTTCCAAAGCCCAAGGACTGGCTGCATTATACGGTACCCAGTGCAACAAAAACCAGTTCCCTGCCTCCTGTCCACCAGAGATGGCTCACCATGCCTAGAAGCTGTGTGAGGCTCCTTCTTGTCCTGAGGCAGGGTCCTCTGCCTTTCCCAGGCATTTTTCCCTTACTCCAATTAGCCTCTTAAACCCTGGGGGCAATGACATAGTTCTGCAAATCCTTCCTCAGTACACCCAGAGCTGTGCGTACCGCTTCCTCTTTGCTTCCAGAAGCCTGTTCTTTATTCTTTACCACAGTACCGATCACATTATATAGTAATTATCTACTTGCTCATCACTTCCTTTCCGCTCCCCCTCCAGGGACTAGCTTGCCAGCTCCTCATCCCCTGCTCAGGAAGAAAGCCTGGCTTCTAGCAGACCTCAATACATGCTTGTTAAATGAAATGCTGAATGGATCAGTGACAAGGAGGAAGGAGGGGGAAAGAAAAGAGAAGGCGAAGGTTACATAGAAAAGTTCACTGTTCTCACACAGACAGACCTGTGTCTGTTTAAACATTTGCAGTTCCAACAAAAGGAAAAAAGCAAGCAGAGCCTGTGGGATGCTTGGAGACAGAGCTGCTTCCTGTCCCAACCCCTGGCATTTGAGAACTGGGTTTTGTGTGTTCCTTGTACTATCTGGGGCATTATCTTCTGTGCCCATGGGAAGGAGAGGTCGCTGTGGAGGTCTGCGTGCAGGGGCTGACGTGGAGGCATCCCGGATACCCCTTGCCCACCCCACTTCCACGCCAGGTGGGATGGGCCCAGAGCCCTCAGTATTCTTGGCAGTCTGGCACGACTGTGGGCCAAAGGAATGAGGTCACTGTCGCCAATGAAGTCACCACTGCATGATTCACCCGATATCAGCTCCCCACTTGGAGTGCATTCACATTCCCTGGGCTTCTCCCAGAGCATCCTGAACCCAGGCGCCCCCTGCAAGATGAGCTCACACGTACAAGACAAAAAGCCGAGGCCCAGCAAAGGCAACTGACATGCTCAAGGTAACACTGGTAACTTGTGTTAGGGCTGGGGCCAAATTCAGCTCTCCTGGTCCAGGGCCCTTGATTACTTCTAACAGACACTCCTTTCAGAATAGTAGTCCCAGCAAATGCTGCCGAGCAAATGGTCCTACGGACAAAAATGGGACATGCTCCACACATTGCCCCACTAAGAGGCAAGACCGGACTTCAAGGCATTGCACTGGCTTTCTTAATCATTTCGTACATACAAAGTATTTTCCAGAGTCACTGCATAGATGTAAAACAGCGCAATGAAACACCTAGCCTAAGATACTGCGAAGCTGAAGGAATCTGAATGTCAGTCCACAAAGAACCTTCACCAGTCCTCGACACCTTCCTGGGAAGCCACAAATAGGAGTCGGGGTTTGAGAACTGAGGCCTGGGAATGCAGGACTCAACAGCGTCCCAAAGGGTGCTCAGAGTCCTTGGCCCCTGTGAGACACCACTTCACCTCTCCAAGCATCAGTTTACTCACCTCTGACCTAAGGGCGAGGGTTCAACGGACCTCTATTCTTTCAACACGGCACTGAGCACCGCTGCCAATCGATAAAGGAAGCGATTTCCTTCGAGCTAGCAGGCTGGGGCTGGGGGTGCACTGCGGCCTCGCCTTGGAGCCCCGCCTCCACCCCGCGTGCAACGTGCAAAGCAACGGCACGCCCTAGAACCAGACCTGGTTCCCAAGCTTCGCCAGACAGAGGGGCAGGGGTCGCCCGCCCAACCTCAGCAGGAGGGTGCATCACTCATCACACTTCACCATCATCCTCAGAGAATGTGGCCTCCAGGGGGAGCACAGGTACCTGGGCTGGGCCCAGAGCCAGCGGTGTCTCCCCTTTCCGGCTGGCTGGGGAGGCTTCAAGGGTTCTCACGCTGCATCTCCCTGAGTCACCAGTTTCAGAGAAAATGATTCAAGCTCCTGCCATGAAAGGCGTGTGGTGGGGGTGGGACGAAGCAACACACCCGAGTCGCTGCCTCGCAGCTCAGGGACCCTGCTACCTCTCCCCCGCCCGCCTGCGCGCCCCTCTCCCCTTTAAAGCCTCGTCAGCCTTCCTTCCTTCCCACTCCTGGGTCCCTGGAACCCCGCGAGGCCGAGGGATGCGCCAGCACCGTGGGCGGAGTGTAATTGCACAGGTCGAGCTCCGCACGCCGGCTGCGTCATCGCCGAGGCCTGCGGACGCTCCCCGGCGCGGCGCGCTCTTTCGCGAGGAGCCCTGGCGCCGCCCTCCCGCGCGGCTCCTCCTCCTCCTCCTCCGCG